TCGAAAATGCATGATTTTTGGATTCAAAAACAAACGCTTGTTAACAATTTTCACATTTAGCATCTTAAACGCGAGACGGTGAAATAGCAGTACATTTTGAATGTTAAAGTTGAATATTTTCTTCTTCATATGTTACTGTCCTAATGTTAATGAGCCACAATTTTATGGCAGTGTGTGGATGATCCGGACTTCATCGATTCTGAGATCGATTTGGGGTCTGATTGAGGCGACAATGAATATGACAGAAATGTGACCGATAAGATAGAAATGGGAATGGTTGGCCGTGAAGATCAAGTGCATATGGAGACTTAGCCTCAGATTGTTTATAATATATTTTTCTCACTCTTCTTTTTAATCGCACATTCTCCAATAAAATAATATTACACATAAATCAAAAACTTTTCGTTTTTTTTCAATCACACGTTCTCCAAAAAAAAAAATTATATTATCAAATAATGGAGGCCAAACTAGGGCTTAACAGTCTTCCGTTGTTCTTGCTGTGACAGAATAAATTATGCCGGCTGATATTAGATGTTTCTAATCTTGATGAACTTGTTCACAAGTATTGGCTACAGGGGCATTGTTGACTCTGGTCTCGCATATGCCATTTTATTTCTTATCTTCAGTTTATTCTTTTGGCTAATTCATGCTCTGACCGACAATATCGTCGACATCAGGATTGTAAGTATTTTTAGAACAATGAAAATGAATGAATTAGAGTCTTGAGATTGTTTTATACGAAACCATTATGTTGAATCTGAACATAAAAGCAGTGAACCTTTCTCTTTCATATGGGGTTAAATTAGGTTTTTTTACCTCTAATTCTATATATTTAAAATCCAATAAACAAAATTTAGTCTCTTGATGGCACAATATGTAACATAGCTGATAAGTAGTTTTTATGCACTTATATAACTCACAAACATGACTAAAATACGAGCAAAGTGTTTGAAATGTGATCTAAATTCGCTTAATTCTTGGATTGTAGGGTTTGTTGATGGACTTGATGGAATTCACGAGAAAAAGAAGCAAAAATGACCAAAACGAATCAAAGTGATAATTCAGGGACCAAAGTGAAATATCCAAAAAATGAACCTAAGGAGCAATCAAAGATTTTATCGTGCCAAGTACCAATTGGTGACCATTCTTGAACCTTGGAATGAGAAGATACAATAAAAGAGGCCAAGAAGTGATTGAATAAAATTTGAGGACCAAAATGGAAGATGTGAAAAGTTCACCCTATGCTATCGCATAGGGTGATGCAGCAATTTTTTTGGACAAAAATTTAAACCAATGCGGTCGCATAGGCATATTTCAGGGATCGGGTCTGCAGTTTCCTTTTTACGTTATAACTCTATTGAAAGACTATTTGGACGGGATATAAAAACCTAGAATCATCAGATATCGGAAGAGAATGCATTGGAGGAGAACAAAACACTTCTTAGAGACCAAATTAAGGAAGATCAACAAGGGATTTCACGAAGAACATCAAAATTTCATCAAATTTCAATATCTAGTGATGTTTTATTTTCAAGAATTCATATATTCCTTTAGATTCTCAATGTTAGGCTAAGTTTTCTTGCGCTAGGAGATCGATGAACTATGTAATATGATCTTTGGATTTTAATTTTTGCAATTTGATAATTAAACGCATATTTGATTATTTGAATGATTTATATATATTAATTTTGTCCATGATTGAGTGCACGCGATTATGTGGATGTGTAGTGATTTATTGTTTACATTCGAGGGAAGGGAAATAGATTTGACAATATATAGATCATCGTAGGGTCCAATAGGTGATAGAAATACACCTCTATGCTTTGCGTAATCGTTAATTGCTCATAAAATTACATGCATTCTTATGTATATGCATCCGTCACAGAAATATAGGCTGGTTGTATATAAGAATAGGTTCAATATTGCTCGAGAGAGTGTGTTGGATAGACTTAGGAGCATTGAGTCGTCAATAATAAAATTGTGTTGTCAGATTGTGAAATTAAGGTTTCAAGTGATTATTACATAAGAATTTGTGATCCTAGTATTTTCTAATTTTATTGAATACAATCAATTTTGCATTTCAATCATCACAATGCGATTAATTTCATTTAAACACATAGTTTGCATAGTCAAGTCATTAAGTGAAATTAAGGTTTTACTAAATTAGGATTTTTCTAAGATTAAATTTCTATTTTGATAAATTTGATTCAGTTAAGGTTAAGGTAGATAAAATTGAACTATTCAATCTTTATGGGACGATATTCAAAACTTAATATTCCACTTTATTACTTGTTAGCGAACCGTACACTTACGTTAGTTTTAAATTGAAAAAAATAATTTCGTGAACAAGTTCTTGATGACGTTGCCGAGGATTGAGTATTCGTTTAATTTTATTTATATTGGCACTAATTCGAACATTCACATTTGCATTTTTTTTTTGGTTATTTTGTCATGTTTTATTTCATTTTATTTTATTTTACTTTGATTTGTTTTATTTATTATTTCATTTTAACATATAAGCACTCCTATTGACTCTTCTCGTAGATTTGCATGCTAAGGTTTGCTGAAGGAAAATTGATCACAGCTGATCTAGAAATCGAACGAACACTACATCAAAGGCATCGAGAAACCAAAGAGGCACAACAACAAATGGCTAATATGCAGAACAATCAAATTTTTCAAGCCAATGAAGAAGGGACAACGGATGAAGGAAATATGCTCGTAGGAGATTTCATGACCCCTCGGATAATTCAAAACCTGTCAAACATTATGTATCCACCGTTTGGACAGCCTAACTTCCAACTGAAGACTAATGTGATACAGTTATTTCAAAACGTCCATCAATTCTATGGAAGGACTGAAGAGAATCCATATACACATATCTCTCGTTTTCTGGAGATGTGCCAACACTTCAAATATCAAGGAATCTCTGACGATGCAATCACACTAAGATTGTTTCCACGTACACTGCACGACAAGGCAATTGTATGGCTAGATTCGTAACCAATCGCAAGCATCACTACATAGAATGATCTAGCCCAGAAATTTTGTACCAAGTTCTTCCCACATGCTAAGATTGCAAAGCTCAAGCAAGGCATTTCTGTCTTTCGTCAAGGCGACTCAGAGAATTTTGATGAAGCCTGGAATAGGTTCAAGATATGCTGCGAAAGTGTCCACATCATAGGATTAACAAAGGACCTCAGGGCCAATAGTTTTTTGTGGGATTACTTCTTGCCTTCGGGAGCATGGTTGACTCATCTTCAAACAGATCACTGTCCACAAAGACAATTGATAAAGCACTCAAACTTTTTGAGACTATAGCTACTACTTCAGCTATGTGGACATCAGAACGAGCAGTTTAGAAGAAAACACTGGGGGTCTATGAAGTAGACGTTTATTCTGCTTTGTCTGCCAAAATTGATTCATTATTTCACAAGGTAGAAAACATGACACAATCAGCTATGGCAACACAGTTGAAGAAGGCCAGTTGTGAGGAATGTGGAGCCGAACATTTAAAAGCAGAATGTCCAATCTTGGTACAAGGAGTAGAGCAAATAAATTTTACTCAATGGGGATAGCGGCAGCAAAACAACACAATCGGGGAAACATACAATTTGAGTTGGAAAAAGCACCCAAATTTCTCTTGGAGCAACCAAAATCGGAATAGGCCACAAGGTCAGTATCAGCAGCGAGAGAAAAAGCCTCAACTGGAAGAGATGTTCGGTAAATTTATGGAGAAGACCAACCAGTACATGGTGGTCAATAATCAATTCATAAGGAAAATCGAGGCCACTCTTCAAGATCAAAATGCAACCATCAAAAATCTAGGACTCCAATGGGACAGATGGCAGTTGCTTTGACTGGCAGAGCACCAGGCAGTTTACCAAGTAATACTAAAATAAACTCGAAGGAACATGCTAAGGCAATCACAACTCGAAGTGGAAAGCAACTACTCGAGATACATGTAAAAAGGCCCGGGGTAAATCAAGAAACAAAATCTCCTGCGATTGAAGAGACTATAGAGCATGACGAGCGAATGAAGGAATCTACGCTAACTGAAGATTCAAGCAAATCACAGGTCAACTCAACCATCAACCCTCATGAGCCTCTCATACCTTTTCCATAGAGGTTAAAGAAGCAGAAGTTGGAGCAGCAATATAAGAAATTTCTCGAAGTCTTCAAGAAGCTCCACATCAATATTCTACTCGTTGATGCACTATTCCAGATGTCTAACTATGCAAAGTTCCTGAAGGACATACTATCGAATAAACGTAAACTAGGAAACCACGAGACAATAATGCTAACAAAAAAGTGCAGTGCCCAAATTCAGAAAAAAGCTCTCACCGAAATTGAAAGATCCACGAAGTTTTACTGTTCCTTGGACTATTGGTGAAATTTATTTTGATAAGGCTCTATGTGATCGTGGTTCAAGTATTAATCTAATGCCTATATCTGTTTTCAAGAAACTTGGCTTGGAAGAGGCTAAGGCAACTACAGTGACATTGCAGCTGGCTGATCAGTCATTGACACATCCCAGTAGTATAATAGAGGACATGCTTGTCAAGGTTGAAAAATTCATATTCCCTATAGGTTTCCTAATCTTGGACATGGAAGAAGACAAGGACGTCCCGTTAATACTGGACAGACCATTTTTAGCAATAGGAAGAGCCTTAATCGACGTTTAGAATGGGCATTTGATTTTGAGATTGGGAGAAGAGCAGATCTCGTTTAATATCTTCAAGGCAATGAAATTACCTACAGAGTTAGATAGTTGTTTCTAGATCGACATGATTGACAAGGTGGTCCAAGACTCATTTTTGCTACACAATCCATCAGATGCCTATGAAGCTTGCATTATACATTCGCAGTCAACGCAGTCTGATTCAATGGAGATAGAAACATGTGCAAGATTTTTGGATACTAACCCACTGTACACACGCAAAAGACATTTTGAGGAGCTTAGGACAGGACCCACAAAATCACTACCATCCATTCAATAGCCACCAAAATTAGAACTCATGCAGTTACCACCAACCTCAGATATGCTTACTTGGGGAAATCCTGTACACTCCTTGTCATCATCTCAAACATAGTCAGTGAAGTGGAAGAGGAAAATTTGCTTAGGGTACTCAGGGAGAATAAGACTGCAATTGGATGGACCATAGCAGATACTAAAGGGATCAGCCCTTCACTGTGCATGCATAATATTCTTATAGAAGAGAATTTTCGGCCAACAATAGAAAGTTAAAGGATGTTGAACCCCAATATGAAGGAAGTAGTCAAAATAGAGGTCTTTAAACTTCTAGATGCTAAAATCATTTATCCGATATCAGATAATGCATGGACTAGCCTAATTCAGGTGGTGCCAAAGAAATGTGGAATCACAGTGGTGCCAAATGAGAAGAACGAGCTGATACTGACCAGAACAATGATGGGATAGAGGGTTTGCATCGATTACCACAAACTCAATGTGACAACAAGGAAATATCACTTTCCCCTTCCATTTTTTGACCAAATGCTAAAGAGATTGGCAGGCCACTCACATTACTATTTCCTTGACGAGTATTCAGGTTATAATCAGATACCTGTGGCACCAGATAATCAAGAGAAAACAACATTCACTTGCCCTTACAGTACTTTCTCATACCGCAGGATGCCTTTCGGCCTTTGCAATGCCCCTGCCACATTTCAACGATATATGATGGCGATTTTCTCAGACATGGTAGAGATATTTATGGATGACTTCTCGATCTTTGGTCTTCGTTTGACGAGTGTTTGGAACACTTAAATCTGGTATTACAAAGATGCAGGGAAACCAATTTAATATTGAACTGGGAGAAATGTAACTTCATGATGTAGGAAGGAATTGTACTTGGGCATCGGGTCTCAACAAAAGGGATGGAGGTGGACAAAGCAAAGATTCAGGTTATTGAGAAGTTATGCCACCAATATCAGTTAAAGGGGTTCGCAGCTTCTTGGGACATGCTGGATTCTACAGAAGATTCATTAAGGATTTTTCAAAAATCACCAAGCCTCTCTGCAACCTGTTAATGAAAGACCTGCCTTTTGAATTTAATGAGGAAGGATTGACAGCTTTCAACGCTTTGGAAAAGAAACTCACATCAGCACCGATAATTGTAGCACCTGACTAGGAATTGCCTTTTGAGTTAATGTGTGATGCCCGTGATCATGCCGTAGGTGCACTACTTGGACAACGAAAGAAGAAGATCTTCCATGTGATCTATTACGCAAGCCAAACATTGAATGATGCCCAGATCAACTACGCAACCATTGAGAAGGAGTTCTTGCTAGTGGTCTATGCCTTTGACAAATTCAGATCATATTTCGTCATAGTCTACACAAACCACATCGCATTGAAGTATCTAACGACAAAGAAGGATGCTAAGCCGAGATTAATCTATTGGGTATTACTTATGCAAGAATTCGACATTGACATCGGGACAAAAAGGGCAGGGAAAATGTGGTAGGAGATCACCTATCGAAATTAGAACATGAAAAACCAGAAGTGTCAGTGGATATCAATGAAAGTTTTTCAGATAAGCAGATGTTCAGTGCAGAAGAAGCCCCAAGTATGCAGATATCGTCAACTATTTGGCTAAATCAATCCCACCACTAGATTATTCGAGTCACCAGAAGAAGAAGTTCTTTGGCGAACTGAAATATTATTTTTGGGAAGATCATATTCTCTATAGATGATGGGTGGATCAAATTGTGAGAAAGTGTATACCTGAAGGTGAAGTACCCGAGATTCTTGAGTATTGTCATTCATCTGCAAATGATTTTTTTTACTAAACCAAATCCTTTTTGCAGAGATAATTGCTTATTTAGCATTGCCTCCATCTCATAAAGATATATTTGTTTCTATTTTCATACCTGTTTAAAATTTGTAATTATTATAGTTTGAAATATAATTTTCTTTTCGTTTTTTCACATTTTTGCTAATATGTTCCTGCATTAAATAATGATTTAAATAGAAGCAGTTCATATTTGTTGCTAACAAAACATATTAAATATGGACATATTAGAAACCTAAAAAATATATATACTTTCAACAAGAAAAGTTATCTACAATTTAAGACAGACGAAAAAGAAAAGCAGCTCTATTTTGATAGAACTGAGCGGATATCATTTTAACTTATTGGTTCTATCTTGATGACAATAAGCAAGTGGAACGAAAAGATAGAGGAAAAACCAACTACCAACCGAAATTTCAAATTGAGTGGAAGTGGGTGCACAAACTAGAGCCGTGATATGTTTCACTCTTTTTTCTTGCATATTTAAGTTGGCATGAATAGGTTTGATGTTGTAAGAGAAGGATCCAAATGAAAAAAACAAAGTGAGCGTATGGTTAAAATATTTATTTAAAATTTGTGGAACACCCACCACCCCAAATACCCTTAACAAAACACCATGTTATTATCATAGTGGCACCCATCATATACCCACCATAGTTAGTTTCGATGCAATTGAGGTTTGTAAAATAGTTTATCTTGGTGTTTCTTTAAGTAATGTGTGAAAATGCACGCGTGCGCACATTATTTTAGCTTCTTTTTTTTTTTTCTTGAAAGACTATAATTATAGCGACCAATTTACAAATTCCTAGGAAAGAACTTGGGATAGGTGCATGTGTATCTTCGATTCTATAACATTCACTAAATTTAGAGATATAAATATAAATTTTTATATTTATTTCGAGTTTGATCGTTTGGTTATATACAACGATATAATATTTACATAAACATATAATGTTTTAGATTTCATGTCCATGTGTCTTGCATTTGAATAAATTGTGTATATATAGGAGCGGCTAATTGAGAATACAAACGTAAACTGATATATTTACGCCATTGATACATTTATTCCATATATGAGAGTTTAATTTTTAAATGAGATATTGAACATCCGTTTTTCAACGTGCGCAAAATGCAAATGAGTCGAAGTTAGATTCTATTTAGTGATTATTTCGGTTATTTAAAGTCGAGTTAAATAATTTAGCGAATAATTGAAAGGCTTATAACAATGACAATTATCGACATGGTTAGACAATTATCGACGTGTTCTACAATAAATTTTAAAAGGTAACAAATACGATTTTTTTAAAATTACGATGAAAATATCACAACCACCGCATAAGTACGTCACTCTAGAATTAATTAAGAAAAATTATAAGTAAAATTTGTCAATAATTTAGTAGTATGATAGATCACTTTTGAATCCTCCAATGTCATCACAAATAATTATCAAACAAACTAGATGCACTTTTAGATTCTTTGCCTTGTTCTTAAGCTCTCTCTTGTGAAATTCTTGTTTGTTCAATTTGAAAGAACTCACGCAGGTTTATATATATATATATATATAATCTACAGGGTCCCAAAAAATTATTTGCAACGAAACAAGAAACGTGTAGAAAAGATGTTGAACTTGCATTTGACACTCTACAATTGAAGTTTGCAATTGTTATAGGACTGACACATTTGGGGGGGTGGGGGAATTGTATTACATGATACAATGACTGAATGCATTATTATGCATTACATGATAATCGAGAACGAACATAATCTTGATGCACTAATTCGAGATTGGATAAAAGCACCAACTCTAGAAGTTGAGTTGGTTGAATATGGCTTTCAAGAATTACTTGCTCGTCATAGACAAATCAAGGAAAAATAGGCTCACAATAAACTTTGAAATACATTAATTAATCATTTGTGGGATGAATATACTAATTCAGAGAATTAAATGACGCGACTAGTTGAACTTCGTAATATCATGATATCGAAATTTTAAACGTATTACACTCTTTTTTAAATATTATGATGTTTAATGTAATCTTTTCTTAATTGTGATATTTGTTTTTTAAGTGTACTACGTTATTTTAAAATTTATTAATGAACTCAATATTTTCTTTATTTAAACGTAATTATTTATTTAATAACATATTTAGTAATAAAATAAATAATTAAATAATTTTTGAATAATTTTTAAGAATAAGAATATGAAGGAAATGATGAAACAATGTTTTTTTTGTGCTACTTTTGGTGTTTTGATTGAAAATGATTTTCAATTTACCCCAAATTTTAGTACAACCATTGAAGATGGTCCAATCACTTCAAATATATTATGCAGTTTAAAACCACGAACCCTAGACTAAAAGTCTCTCTAGACGCTTAAACATTCGCTCCAAAAGATGAATCAATGTGCAGAAAACATAAATATTTTTTAATGTTGAAAATTGATCCTACTGCCCCTCAATGAAGTCACAATTTCTAGTAGAAAATTTGTGTATATTTTGAACTGTTGGGGACCAATGACCAATAATGTGGGAATTAAAATTTAATGAACACCACTTGAAGTAATAAACAAGATCACAAAATATCAAGAACAATATTTAAAATAAAGAAGAAAAAGAGAATTTAAGCAGAGGAACATGAATTTTATTAAACTCGACAATATGGAGAGAATTACAACAATACAGCAATTTGGTTTAAACTAAATTGAAAGAGGAGCCACATATTTATAGTACACGAGTCAAACCCTAAAACCAGACTAAAATATGGAAATTAAGAAAAACCTAGTAAAAGTAAGAAATCCGGCGCCCAAATATTATTTCCTTAATATTGGATGCAATTTATTTCTTTCCTTTTTCACTTGGCTCTAATGATTC